AGGAAGAGATATATCATCAGTAATCTTCTTGAGACGTTGCCAAATGATAGATCTTTCATTAACATAATTTGAGACATACATCACAAAATTAAGAAAGGAGGCAAAGCACCATAAGAGATATGAGTGTGGATCATTTGGCTAGTAGTTCTAACTGGGTTGAATGAGATGATGGATGGATCCCATTTAATACAAATTCTACTAGGATGAGAATATTCAAAATTATTATAACTAGCTTCATTTTAAATGATCTTCTGAATTGAAGAAAAACAGGCATCAGACATCAGAGAGTTGTGACTTTTATTTCAAGAATACAAAGCAAATCAAGACTAAAATTACGGGTAAAGTTATTGCAATTAAGGACTTTTTCGGGGTTGTTGAAGCTCTTATGTTCCAAGTCCTTTTTGTTGGGTATGACATTGAGATTTTGTGGCAAGGTTGTTGGCCTTTTAGGCATTTGGAGCGTTAAGTGTTTGTGGGTGGAGGTTTAGAGCAGCTTGCTAGTTGAAGGGTTCCCAACAAAGGATTGAAGGTTTGTTTGTTCCTGTTGCAAAACTATAGATTTATTATGGCTTTGGCTTGAAGTGGATGGGTAGATTCAAAGAAAGTAGTTTGTTCTTCTGTAAGGGAGTTCATGTTTGGTATTCCTTCCATTTCATGAGCACGAGCGAGGGTGTAATAACCCAAAGTTTTTAAAATGGATTTATTTAAAAAATCTATTTTTTTTTGAACTAGAGCGCTATGGTGTTGTGCTTGCATGGGGGAGCCGCGATGGACCGCTAGACTTCGACACAGTGGCACTAAGCTCTCTTCTCTACATTAACTTTGGATTGAGCATATAGCGCTGTTGTGCACTGAAAAATATTTTCAAGATATTTAATATTAAATGCCCCTCAACACCATCTTCCTCCCCTCCCTTATTTGTCTTGCCGAGAAAGGAAAGGAAGAAGAATGAGAAGAGAAGGGATGGAGGAGAGGAGAGAGAGAAGAGAGTAAAGGACTTCCGTGGTTTTTTTGTCTGTTGCTCATATTACGAAAATTATTCTGATCATTGTAGGTGACTTCTATCCTACTTTGTTTTTAAAGATTTTGATTTTGAAATTTATTCTCCTATCTAAATTGATATTTATTGTATTTTCTCCTGATTTAGTTATCTTCCACCATATAACTTTTGATATATTGTAGTATTGATTATTTTGATCATTTTGAAATAGTTTTGTATTTTCATCGATTAAAATTATATTTATTATATTTTATATGTTTTCAGTATGAATAAGATATATAATGATTTTGTAATTTTTGATACAAGCATCGTTTTAGCATTTTGCTACAAGCATACTAATGAGACAAATATTGTGAATGAATACAAATGAGTTAATAATTATTATTAATTATATATGCTCCTATATTGTGTGTAAACAAGAAAGATTGGTTATTAAGAGACGTTGGCTGAATATTAATTCTACCCTATATAGGAGGGTGCATTGAGAGGCTTTCCTAAAAATGTTTGTGCTGATATCCTCGACGAAGATCATGATCAAGATTGGGAGTTATAAGAAATTTAAGATGCCGACAGACTAGAGTGACTACTCTTCAAGAAAGCCACTTGAATATTAAATTAAAGATTAAGATATTAAAATGAACATGATATAAGTATGATAACTAGAAAAATATCACTAAAGTTAGAACTCCTTACTTGTTTAGTATGATTAATATGATTACTTATACATGCATACATGCACTATTATTGATACGATATTAATTTTATGATTAAGTTTAATTGTGATTATGACAATGACAATATACTACTGTTGAATCTGCATGTGTAGATTATATACACTAATTACATCAATGATAATACCTTTTCATTATTATAGATTTTCAATAGCTCCACTTATCTTTGGCTTTAATGATTGATACGAACTCTATACTGATTTGATAATGGTGCACGAATGATTTTTCTTATGATTTATAGCTTTATTGTTTTAACATTCGTACTAGTATTTTTTTTTTTTTACGATTTAAGATCGATCAGAGTCTAGATTTATAGGTTTAGTTTTATTTATGTTATTTTTCTTTAGTAGCAGGAAGTTTTGGCAGACAATAGATGTAATTCAATTGAACTTTTGGTTATTCTATATGTTATTTTGAGATTTGGTGTAAATATTTGATGAAAAGACATGTACTTATATTTTATGTTGTTTATATTGTCTGGATGAAATTAGTAGCTCTGGTAATGATTAAAAATAGAAAAGATAAAAATTTTCCAATTTAAATCTTGGGGCGTGACATGGGATGGACTTTGTGTCTTGTTGCTTGTAATTGGTACCATTAGGAATAGTGGTGGAGAGAGACATAAGGGGGTTGGATGTATAAATTGTATGTTCTGTTGTGTTGGAGATTTTTGTGGAGAAATTAAAATTGGGAGGTTTGGCTTGAGAATTGGGAGGTTTGGCTTGAGAATTGGGAATAGCCATAGAAAATAACTTCTTGGGTTGTCTGCTTCTGCTTCTTCCAATGGTTTGTGTTGGATTAACATGGCATAGGTTGAGGGATAGCAGAACGCCCACACTGGAGTTGGCTTCCAATCATATTGAAATTGAAGCATAAGTTTTTTTTTCCCCCCATAAATAGAAATTTCAATTTCATCAGGCAAGGGGTCATTGTTTTGAACTTGGGTGCAAATCCTTGCAAAAGTTAATCTATTTTCTCAACAATAAGTTTATACACAACAAAAGAGTAATGGAACTTGCCATTAGAAATGCCCTCAACGTTCCAACTTCAGAGAGGTAGGTCATGGATCTTAATCCATAAGGCTATATGTTCAAACTCACATTTCGGCCTTAATTACAAAGACCCATTTTGGACAATAAAAGGTTACCAAGGAAGAAATAAGGGTTTCTTTTCTAGACCATATTCGAATTCCTTAGAAGATGAGAACTTCAGAAGAAAGAAAACATCATTAAGAAAAGTAGATTTAGTGTACCTTAAAGGTCCAAGATCTCTTAATTGTTGCAAGCAAGGCCTCATAATAGGGCTTTTTGCCAATTGAGTAGCTCATAAGACAAAGCCCCCATTCAACGGAGCCTTCCAAGATCTCTCCTGGATCACCTTAGAACTTTGAGCTTCTGGTCAGAGTCGTGAGGTGCTCCTGCTATTGCATATAGGCATGTCCTTCTCTTGTTTTTTTTTTTTTTTTTTTTTTTTGCAAAATTTTTTGGACATATTTGCACAAGATGTTTCTCATCAGAATTGAGGATGTCGATTTATATTGATCATAACACTTGGGTTTTATGGGAGCATTCAAGTGATAAAAATTTTCCATCAAACGTCTAGACTATAGTTCTGCCTATTTTTATCGGGAGTGTACACTAAACTTAAAAACAAATTTGGATCTTTCCTTTAAAAAAGAGCCTTCTCTTGTTGTATGTAATATCCCAAAGGTGACAGTTGGCACCTATTAGAACACAACAATAAAACAAATACATAAAAGACACGAAAGCTCTCTTTGTATTTCCTCCTAATGCTTTCGTGTGTATGCCTGCTGTTTAGTCTATAAATACTGCTGTATACCTGTGGATTAAATAATGAAATAAGATTCTTCTTTCTCCTCTCCTATTATGTGATTCAAGAACTACTCTCTGTCAGTTCAGTTTCTACATGGTATCAGAGTAGGCCTAATGCTCGCCCGCATTCATGGCTTCATCAGAGACATCCCAGACTGCTGAACAGGAGAACTCCGCCTTCCTTGATACTACGAGTATTCCTTCCTTTCTGAAATTTCTTGTTTCCAATCTCAAACATCTTGTTCCCACCCAACAAGCTCTTTCGAGCCAATGGGTTTGCTCAATTTCTTGAATCTACCTCCACGCATCCCCTTAATCTGCTCCGCCCATCTGACGTCTCCACCACTCCTAATACAGCTTTCAATCACTGGCTTCTTCAAGATCAGAATCTGGCAGCCGCCATCTGTTCAACCATTTCACCCTCTGTTCTTCCCTACATCCTGAATCTTGAATCTACGTCCACCATCTGGGCATCGTTGAACTCCGGTTTCAATCTACCAACCGCTTCAAAGTTATCCAGCTCAAGAACGAGCTTCACCACATTTCACCACAAAAAATAGCACCTCTTCCCATGCATGAACATTGACCTGATCTACCTGATGTGTTAGCTCAGCATACTATTGTTGAGGAGGATGTGGATCCATATTGACACTCTTATGAATCTTATTATAGAAGCACTAGTAGATAGAATTCTTCAATCTTGTTTGTCACTGTGGGCAGAAATAGGAAGAAAATATATCTCCACTCGTTATGATTTACTGGTTTTAAGGCAGAATGATATAAATGAGGACCCTTGGGGTTTTACTCTTCCATCAAAAGGACTTTTTCTTCTTTACTATCAAGTTATCTTTGATGATGTATTTTGATATCTTCTATTTCAACCTATAATTCTTTGTAATTGCTTCATGTTGTACTCATCCTATTGACTCATTATAAAATTTTTTGCTTAAAAAATAAACAATTTTACATGTGTAATACCTTTATATGTTTGAAATCTCAGAATATCCTTAACAGCAAATGTTCAGCCCCAACCTGATGTATAACATTCAATTATAATTTAAAGATGGTTAGGCATTCATAAGCAACTATAGAAATTAGTTGATTAAGGCCTCGTTTGGGATAGTTTTTTTGCTGCTTTCTAAAACGGCTTTTTAGTACAAAAATTTCAATGTTGTTTTAGGAAGCAGCAAAAAAGTTGTCCCAAACGAAGCCTAAGTTAAAATTTTAACTACCAGTTCATTATTTACGGTAAAGATCAGGAGCAAGTGCCTCTCCTCAATTCGTGATTATGATATTCAGTAATGCCTTTGACAAAACATTTTAGATTGGCCTTTTCAATCTAGAGAATTGCCTTGATGCTAGCAAGCAATTCTTTCAATAAACAAATTCTCTGCCATCTGACTCTGGGATTTGTTCTTTACCATGTACGTGTTTCAGCTGATGAACTAAGAAACAGAAGCGCAGAACATAAAGCTGCCATAGTTGCTGAGGCGGAGAGGCATATTTGGCCAGCCATTGAAGCAGCAGAAGCTCATAGCATCATAGAAAGGAGTATTCATATCGGTAAAATATTCTAGTTCCATGAATAGAATCAAAAGGAAAACCTTCAAAATATTTCGACAAAATAATGTCTTCCTTCTTACATAATGAATATTTAGTTACTAATGCTATCGAGATTCTCACTTGAAAAGCCAAAGGTTTTGTGCTGCAGAAAGCTCTTCGAATTCTATCTAATTCTCTCACCTGAACAGGCACTCGATGTGGTGATTAGAAAGTACTACATTTAAGTACCAACTGCTGCACTGAGGGTAATCTGCCCTTCCAAACTTTTAGTCTTCATTGAAACAATTTGTCTGTGGAGAAATTTCAATCAAATTTTCTCCACTCTTTAGGGAACTTTTATTAGGTCCTCTGACCGGACGTAACTCTACGTTCTGTCATCATTGAGTTACTCGGTTTTTGCTCGGTATTGCTAGGTATTGCTTGGCAATAATGAGAAATACTGCTCTGTGAAGACCAATAACGAGTAATACCGAGCAATACCGAGTAATACCAAAAAATACCGAGTTTTTCTAGAAAAAATTCGGTATTTTTTTGGTATTACTCGGTATTACTCAGTATTGCTCGGTATTTTGTCTTCACATAATGATATTTCTCGTTATTGTTGGTATTGCTCGGTATTTGCTCGGTATTTCTCGTTTTGTGCTTGCTACGTGGCGCGATCTCAGTGCCGGCCGAACGTAGCTCTACGTACGTTCACCGGACCAAATAAAAGCTCCTCTTTAGGTCATAGAAACTGCACAATTTTTTCTTTATCATTTATTGTCAAATTTAGTCAAGTTGATAGCAAATTTAATTCACCCTGCAACGTTCTTTCTTGAGATTATGAATTCGTTCGGGACAACTTTTTTATGAAACAACTTTTTAATATCAAAATTTTATAAACTATAGATTTTTGTACTAAAAAGTTGTTTGAAATTCAACCCGAGATGTTTCTAGTAAAGCAAGCACCTCGACAGATGCGACTCGAGGTCAAACAACAAGTTGTACTTGAAGTCAATAAATTAATCAACACTGGCTTCATCATGGAAGAGAAAAGTAAAACTTGTTTAGCCAGCATCATTCCAGTCAAGAAAAAGAACAGTCATATTCATATCTGCATCGACTACATGGACTTAAGTAATTTGAATTGAAGTGAATCAAGCTTCGTTGATCTTGAACTCATGACTCAATAAACTCGACTCTCAAGCTTCTTGCCAAGTTGAGTTTGAACTAGCGCACACTCACGCGCAGACTTGACTCATCATCATCATTATTCTCCATATCCAAATTATTTGAGATCTACTCTGTAAATTCTACTCTTTCATTCGATCCTCTCAAGTTTTAGCAAGAAAAAGAATAAATTTTCTTTCTATTGTGCACTCTTTCAACATTCATTTGATGCTACTTACAATATCTCCTCAGTACAATCATTTCTGACTTATTCCTTAATAGAATTATCATTTTTTTTCCTATACATTATTATTTTTGTCCAATTCTTCATAAAATAAAAAAATTGTCTAATTGCAATTTTATCAAATATATCCTTCTATTTATTTATGAAAGAACAGTTCAATGAGCTAAATGTATATTCATCAGCCAAGCAATAGTGATTAAAACCACAATTATAATTTCCGAAGATGTACAGAGACGGTTTATGAAAAGGTTGAGAAACTTTGGAGACAAATTATTTGGTTCCCTGTTCTATCGGAACAATTATTAGGTCAGGTGACCTGACGTAGATCTACGTTCGGACGCCAATAACATGTCGCCACGTGCTTTTACTCTTTACCGCGCGGCCCGACGACCTGACCCGGACAAGAACCCGGGATTGCTATGCTAACTTATTGCTAGGTATTGCTGTTAATAACGAGAAATACCGCTTTGTAGAGAGCAATACCTAACAATACCGAGCAATATTGCTCGGTATTGGTCTTCACATAATGGTATTTCTCGTTATTGCCGAGCAAAATCGACCAATACCTAGCAATACCGAGCAATACACGAACATAGTAATCCCGAGTCCGTTCCGGGTCGGGTTGTTGGGCTGCGCGGTAAAGAGTAAGAACACGTGGCACTATTTTACTGGCGTCCGAACGTAGAGCTACGTCAAGTCACCTGACCAAATAAAAGTTCGTTCTATCGAGAGTCATATAGTTCTTTCTGTGATCGAAGGGCTGAATTAAAATTTTTTTTAAAGAGCGGATAAAATAAGATTGTGAAATGCTTAATTTTATATATGAAATGAAAAAAAGGAATTTCTTTTATAGAAATTGGGCAACTGCATTTATTGAGGGTGAACAAAATAGTTAAAATGCTTGATCTTCTAAAGAAAAAAGAAAATTATTCAGGCGGGCTTTTATGGGCAAAGCCCACCCTGAGCTTTTTCTAGTTCCACCCATATTTTGTCTAACCCTATGTTGAGCCCATTTAAAAAAATTACAAACCAAACAAGCGAATATTAAAAATATATTCCTTTTTAAATAGTTGGACAACAACTTTATTACAGCTCTAACACATTAATACATATGACTATCAAAAATATTTTCCATCATAAAAATTTCTAAGAAAAGAGCTAAAAATTAATAACAAAATGAAAATATAATTACTGTTTGAAAAGTAGAACAGTTAGAAAGCTGCTTCAAACAGACTTAGGCTTTGTTTGGGACGGCTTTCTTATTGCTTCTTAAAACAGCTTTGTAGTACAACAAATAAATTTTTTATACTAAAAAGCTGCTTTAAGAAGCAGTAAGAAAGCCGTCTCAAACAAAGTCTTATAAATAAAGGGGTTGAGAGGAGCTTCATTATCCGATCAACATTGGATGTTTGAATGCATAAGATTTAATACCAACCATAATATTGTTTAATATGAGAACATAAATAAAATAAAAATAAAAATGATTTCAAAATTACTCCTAAATTATGACACTCTTGATCTATTTGATCTCTGTTTCACTTGTTGGTGTTAATTATGTGTCAAATTGCAAACCTAAATACAGCGAGGCCCTCATTGTGAGCAAATTATTAGGTCCGGTCACCTGACTTAGAAGCAAGTCCGGACATCCAATAAAAACTTGCAACTTGGACTGCTTTTTACTGTGCGCTTTGACTGCGCTTTTTTGACTGCACTTTACCTGCATTTTACCTGCACTTTACATGCGCTTTTTTTGAGTCAAAGCGCAGTCCACGTGACAAATTTTTAGTAGATGTCCGGACCTAGAAATAATTCCGGTGACCGGACCTAATAATTTGCCCTCGTTGTGATTGTAATTCCATTAAAATACCCTGACCTAACTTTTCCACAAGGGAATAGCAGAATACAGGAAGAAAATGTACTTTGCTTTGAAAAATGGGGCTTTCTGATTAAGTTAAAGAGATTCACTATCCCTGCAGCTCTCATTTGGAATATGTAGTGTGAACTGGAAGCAGCTTTGGAGATAAAAACGGACGAAATCGGTCAACTAACAGAACAATAAAGCTTTTCATTTGCGACAAATGTTCAAGTAGCCAACCTAACATCTCTCCTAAGTAGTTTTTCAATTATTTTTTGTTTTGTTTTGTTTCTTATTTGTCATAAACGTGCGATAGTTTGAAATATATGTAGCTCTGATCCGTGATCTTGCAAAAAAAATAATTTTCTCCTATAAAGCTGAACAGATGAGAAGTCTATTAAAGCATACTCTAGATGAGAATGGAACCACCGAAGATAACAGAATTGAATAAAAGGGCTGTTTGGCAGAGGTTTGAGCGCCGTAGCGCTGCGTGACGGATTGTACGATTTTTTTTTCTCATTTTTTTTAAAGGGTTGCGGCTCTTGGGGTTATTTATTTAGCTTTCTCTTGTATTTCTGTAATGTTAGACAGAGAGAATGGTGCATGTGAGAAGAGAAGCGAGGAGAGAGCGAGAGAGGAGAGATCTATAATTATTTCTTCCCATTTTCATAATTAATTTCTTGGTGTGGTGTGGCTCCTTGGTTTTTCTGTTGCCTCGGACCTCAAGTTTCTTGTGCTCAATTATTATTTTTTATATATAAAGTCCTAGTGATGTATACCCGAGCACCCCGATACTATTTACCTGAGCACCCCAATGCTTTGTTCCCAAGCGCCCCAACACGAAGTGCCACATCGATTTAGATACTGTGCCACAGAGGATTAAGACAGAGGTTTGAGCGCCGCAACACTACGAGATGGTTTGGATGGTTTTCTTCCTCAATTTTTTTGAAGGGTTGTGTCCCTTGGTATTATTTACTTGGCTTTCTCTTGTATTTATGTAATGTTAGACATAGAGAATAGTGCATGCGAGAAGAGAAGTGATGAGAGAGCGAGAGAGGAGAGATCTATAATTATTTCTCCCCATTTCCGTAGTAGATTTCTTGGCGTGGCTCCATGATTTTTTTACCTAATTTGGGATTTTTCATGTTAAATACTGGTCTCTTTTACTCTCCGTTACTTTTACTTTCTTGCTTCTTTTGTCATTATGGTATTTACTCCTCTTCATCTCAACAACATGATGGCAAGGGTTACGATGCTTTTTTCTCTCTACTATGTTGTGAGAAAACTTGTCTTCTATTCTCATAAATAGAATAAGACAAATAGATATACATGGAACAGTGGAGAGTGAAAGCTAAGCTAAATAAAAAGGATATAAAATCATATCCCTCTAATTAAGAACTCTTCAAAAGCAAAAAAAAATCTTAAGTTGCCCTAAACCATACTATCCCTACTATTAACAATCCTTTGATGCTTACGCATGAACCGATCTCCTCAAACTCTTCCTTCAAGAGTTAAAAGAGGCAGTCATGATGATGGAAGTGAAACTGAAACACATGTGGAGGCACACCACCATTCAACATAAAGCTTCAATGCAGCATTACCAAACATGAAAGTGACAGAAATGATGAAGCTCATTTTGCAGGGATAGTACCTGATGGAATTCATCTTGTAAATCAAAATCATTAGCATACATATGTGGATGATCAGGATCAGATTATGGAGAGATTATTACATGCGAAATCTGGACCGAAATTGTATTTGATTTTTGTGAGTGTGAACAGCAAAATCACAATAAAAAGTAAAAACACAATGGTAAACAGTAACTGCATTTTTGCTGTGCACACTCACAAAAATTGAACGGTTCTCTGATATGGACTCTGCACGTAATAACCTCTCAAGAACTATGATGCACCGACACTTCTCCTCAAAGAGGCGTGCAGTGTCCGACACCGTATCTGACACCACACTCGTCCGACACTCCTTCAACACTTGTCGGACTCGCCAAAAACGTGTCCGATTAAAAAATATTTAATACAAATTGGACATGCGTGTCCGACATGCACATCTTAAATATTTAATGAA